TAGGCGAGCCACGACTTTGCCCCTTCCCCACTCAATACAGAGAAAAGTGAGAAGTCTAGATGGAACACTTTACTTATTGGGTATATCACCCAGATTAATTACTATTACAGAGAGTCCTACCCAAAAGTACTAGGAAGGTATACTAGCCTGGATAGCCAAGGCTAGCCCGATCTCAGCAGAACTCAGAAGCTAAGCAGGGTCAGGCCTTGGTTAGTTCTTAGGTGGGAGACTACCAAGGAAATCTGGGGTTGCTATGCAGAGACAGGCAATGCAGAAACAGGCTGCCTCTGCTTATCTATTGCCTTGAAAACCCTAAGGGGTCGCCATTAGTCATCTGTGACTTGATAGCACTTTCCACCATGTGATATTAGTCACTTTAGTCCTGCAAAACTTTTTCCTGTTCCACTCAAAGGTCTTAGATATCCATGGAAACACCATTGTGTGTATTAGGTATCTTTGCTTGTGGCAGGTTAAGAATTGGACATGCGTCAAAATGCAGATATGCTCCCATTGTAGAGATGCCTGCAACACGTTTTCTACTGCCAAATTCCTCTGCCGAACGCGATCCGTCCGTTCATCAACACAATCTATTGAAACGGAACCGAATGTATTCTTCTCTCACACCTCTAATTTCATCGGCTATAGAATGAGGAAATAAAATATGTATTCAAATATGTATTTTTGGAAACAGGATGTGGCTGCTGCATTAATTCCACCAAACATATATGGAATGTCATATTGAATGGCAAAGTAAAATACATATGCAAATATATATTTCTGGGTGCAATGGGGAAAAAAGAAGAAATTCTAAAGAGAGGAGAAGAAAACTTAAGGAACATAAGGCAAACGTACAGATAATCAGAGAAACAATATTGGAATGAAATCGGGTCGCCAGCAGTGCCTCTGCAAATGCTGGGAGATTTTCAGGGCAGTGCCTGGAGGAGGTGGAGGAAGTGACATCACTTTTGGGTGATGTTCTGGGAATTTTCCCTTAATCTTTGTTGTAAAGGCCTTAGAGACATGGATAATTCCTAGAGAGTCAGCATGGATGCTGTTTCTCGGCCATTTTTGTCTCCTCAACCTGTACAGTGGCCCTGATCCAAATCAGGCATGTGTAGTTGTTAGTAGCTCTTTTAAAAGTGCTAGGGAGGTGTCCTTGTGAATCTCCCTGCGTCTCTTCTTGTTAGGGCTTTATTCGAAATGACCCTGGAGGTGTATATATGCCTAATATCTGTTTTTCTCAACTTCTGACCATAAGGACTCCAAGGGGGTTACCTAGCAAGACACTGAAAATAGCCCTGCAGCGTAGTATAATATCCCTTAATGCAGCATCCTGTCAAATTCAAAATCCGCATCACCCACTGAACAAAATTCAGCAAAATTAATCAATCATGCCTTTCTGAACGCTTGGGAGAAAAGCCAAGTTTTAAACTGGCGCCTCCCTCTTAATAGCTTTGGCACCTGGCAAATTGATCTAGGGAGGGAGTTCTACAACTAGAGTCATGCTCTCTTCATTTATTGTGACACGAGCTTTTATGAGGGGGCTCTCTGATCACGAGTCAAGGGCACTGGAAGTCAACAGCGTCTCCCGCACAACCTCTGAGGAGCTGAGGCTTCCCCGTTCGTTCATTGGATTGTCCCTGGATTTAGCGGCTTGTCTTGCTTTGATTCCACAGTTGCCTGTTTCTGCTGTAGCGTCTCAAGCTTGGGACAAAATAACCATCCCCATTCAAACGTACTGCGAGCCAGCTCCTTATTTACAGGCTCTTTTTGTAGCAGGAACTCCTTTGCATATTAGGCCACACACCCCTAATGTAGCCAATCCTCCAAGAGCTTACAGAGCTCTTCTTACAGGAGCTACTGTAAGCTCTTGGAGGATTGGCTACATTAGGGGTGTGTCGCTTAATATGCAAATGAGTACCTGTGCTGAGCCTATTTGTCAGGTGGCTTTGGTGCTTTGCACAGAGTTTGACTTGATCACCGTGTTGAGCAGCTCTGTGCCTGTGCGGAAGCCCACTTTTGGGATGAGTAGTAGGCGACCTTGGTAACTTGTGGGCTTGCAGACATTCTTGTGCCTTGGAAGTCAGCATAATTAAATCATCTTGACTGTCAGAGGGGGAGGACTGTATCCTTGGGCGTTTTATTTATTTATTTAAAATATTTATTAGCTGCTTTTCTTCCTCATGGAGTTCAGGGCCCCTTACAATATTTATGCAGTACATAAAATGGATTACATGAACAATATAAAACCAAGGCTTTGACAGCCATTAATGGCCAGTGCATGATGTGCCATAAAGGACACAGAGAGGCAACTGCAGTAAAGCAATACGTGACTGTGGATGTATAGAGGTGTGTGTGTTTGAGTTGTTCATATACAGGCAAACAGAATATTGACTGTGGCAATCACTGTTTTCAAACCATGCTGTGATCTAAGTCAGTACATGTTCAAGCTCTACCAGCGACTGTCAACTTTTTCTCAACCAAACTATCAAAACTCTATAATGAAATTGATGGCCTGTTTGTGAATAAACAGTGTTAAAATGGTTGAAAATGCTTGAAAATCAGTTAAAAAGAGACAGACAAAACCAGAAAACTAGTAGAGAAAATAGGCATGGTGAAACCTCTCACAATAACCAAAGGTTTTAAAATGCCTCTCTGTACATTCCTGATTGTTTGGTAGCCTTGGGGTTGTCGTTTACCTTCTCTTGTGTCTCTTGCCCTCTGCTCAGATCCGCCACGCATCATCAGCTTACTGGATCCCATCCGCCACATGGAGCACTGCATTGAGTTTTTAGTGCATGGAAATCCTCCACCCCAAATCCACTGGCTCTTCAATGGTCAGCTTCTCAGGGAGACGGAGTTTATCCGCACAGAACTCTATCAGGAGGGGGAAGTATCTGACGGTTGTCTGCTCTTCAACCATCCGACGCACTACAACAATGGCAACTATACCATCGTCGCTACCAACTACTTGGGAACAGCCAACCAGACCATCAAAGGACATTTCCTGGAGAAACCTTTTCCAAGTGAGAGCGGGACAGCTTCCGTTACCATAGCTCTTCTTTCTTGCCTTCTCTGGTGTGGTCGGGTGGTTAGAATGTCCGACTAGGGCCTAGGAGACCCAAATTCGAATCCCCTTCCCCTGGTCAGCCATGAAGCTCACTGGGTTATCTTGGGTCATTCATTATTTCTCAGAATAATTGTTTCTCAGGAAGCAGTTTTTCTCCAGGCCAGTTTGGCTGGAGATCCTGGAGGTTTTTTGTCATCTTCTGGGTGTGGAACAGCGGTTACTAGGGGTCTGGGGGGGGAGGTATTTGTGAATTTCCTGCATTGTGCAGGGGGTTGAACTAGATGACCCTGGAGGTTCCTTCCAACTCTGTGATTCTATGATTCTGTGCACCACCCTGACCTGGGTGGCCTATGCTAGACTGATCTGGTCAGGTCACGGAAGCTAACAGGGTTGGCCCTGGTTAGTACCTGGATGGGAGACCAGAGACACAGAGGCAGGTAATGGCAAACCACCTCTGTTCATCTCTAGCCTTGACAGAGTTGCCACGTCAGCTGAAATGTGATGACACTTTCCACCACTACTCTATGCACCAAGCTGAGTGCGCATGACACTTTTGGGGAAGGAAGAACCATTGTTGGCTGCTTTCTTTGAAGAATGTGCAGACTGAGTTGGCATGGTCTCGTGGTTAGAATGTTGCACTAGGATCTGAGAGACCCAGGCTTGAGTTGTCTGTTCCCCCCCCTCCGCGCCAAGAAGCTCTCTGGGTGACCTTGGGCCAGTCAGAGTCTCTTGGCCTAACCTTCCTCACAGGGCTGTTTTGAGGATCTAATGAAGGAGAGGAGGAGAGCCCACACATGCTGCCCTGGACTATTTAAAGAAGCAGCAGCAGCAGAGTTGGATTTATACCCCACCCTTTACTCGGAGTCTCAGAGCGCCCTTCCCTTCCCCTCCCTGCAACAGACACCCTGTGAGGTAGGTGGGGCTGAGAGAGCTATGAGAGCACTGCTCTTGAGAGAACATCTCTGAGAGAACTTGTGACTGACCCAAGGTTACCCAGCTGGTTGCAGGTGGAGGAGTGGGGAAACAAACCCAGCTCTCCTAGAGTCCACCGCTCTTATAGGTGGTCATAAAGATAATTCAGGCCTTTCTAGTCCAGCGCTCTCATAGGCCTCAGCGTAAAAGGATGCTAGAAGTCATGCTAGACTTCTGCAGACTGGTAGTTAAAAACAAACAAAGCAGGGTTCATGGTACCTTAACCATTTTGGCTGCAGCAGGCCTCTGTAATTTGAAGGGTTTTTTTCAGGCTTATGTTTCTTGCCATGCGGAATGTAGCTGCAAGAAAGGGCCTTGCCCTTTGCTGTTTCTCACAGCTCTGGAAAGCTGAGCAAAACAGGACATCTTCCTATATATAGCAAACATGATAACCCTGGCATTCTTATTATTTATTTATCCTCTGCTGTAGCCTTTTTTGCCTATTAAAACTTGAGTCCTCCCATTGGAAAGAGAGCTATCAGGACTGGACAGAACCACTATGAGTGAAAGAAAAGGGGGGAGGGGGGGAGAAAGCCTTTGCAGCTGAAAATCTGTCTGGCTTAGTTCACCCGAGCAAAAAAATAAGAGAGTAACAAGCATTCCATTTCAGACTGGAGGTGGGAAACGGTACGTTTGAAAGCATGCGAGGAAGAAAACCAACTCATTAGGATAAAAGCTACACTGGGATTCTTTTTCCTAACTCTGTAGGGAGATCTTTTAAAAATATGGAGTTGCTTTCATGGATGTGAGTCCCTTTCCTGTGGGCATATGAAGTTCCCTTCACATCGTAGCTCATCAGGATAAAAGCTATGCTAGAATTATTTTCCCTAATATGCAGCTGT